GAGGCGTGCAGCATGAGTCAGCTAAAACACAGCTGATGTTGCAAAAAATTTGTCTACGTGTATTCACTTGGCCTTTCACGAGGCAAACAAAGCCATTGAAGCAAAGCGATGGGCAAAACCAAAGACAGCGCCAATTTATCAGTCGTCATATCTGCTGAAACAGTTTGTTAAAGCTTAACACTCCAAGACAGTTTAGTTCAAAAGACTTCGAGACCCAGGTTAACGATTCCAAAGAGGGGATTTTGATATACCTGTACATTGTTTGCCCCGCAGAGCTACTTAACATACTTAATCAGTATATTTGCGGCAAAATAGGCAAAAAACACTTTCATAAAAAAGTTTAACACCATATTAGGTTTATTCCGTATTAAAGTCTGTTCTCTTCCTACTGATTGTCCTATTTCTACTTTGTGGACAGACCAATGTGTCGCCACCTCTTATACACGTAGTGCTAAAAGCCACGATTCAGAAGTTAATTTTATGAGGACGAAAATTCGCGGAAGTCGGAGGCAAAAGTGAGTGTCTACATGACACTGTTGAAAACGCCTTAATTTTGGATATCAAAAAATGCAGAATACACACTTTCAGTTGCACCAAGTACAAAATGACATCAATCGCTAAAAAGAGAGGATTAGTCGGTGATGCTGAAAATAACACAGTTCAACCTGTATTAAGCAGCAACGTATTCAGCGGTTAACCAGTATTAAGCGGTCAGTTGTCCCGGCTTGCTTATATTGTTTACCACCCTGTGGGTGACTGCTTAATATTATAAAAAAAAAAAAAAAAAGATAAAAAGCAATCTTGGAGAATATTGCCCTTAATGATGGATCATCTGAAAAAAATGTGAAATCAATAAACTGATGAACAAAATAAATTCCTAATGAGAAATTGATCAAAAAATCTTCAAAACGAGTTTGTTTGTTACTTAGTGTTTTTCTTTCTCTTTTTCGATTGGTATACGTCTAGGCATGCAAACTACGCACAATTTTTGTTGTCACGGAATATGTATAATCATAGTTTTGAATACTGAAATAGTACAAATGGCGCCGTCGTTCAACCATGAAGTTAACCATGTTGCGTAATCAAGCTGAATGAAACAAGAGAAGTACTGTAAAATAACTCCTGTGAGCTACAGATTTCCGTTAGCTTGTGCCCTTCCCCCACAAAGCTTACCTTGAAGTATGTTTCGCCATCCTTCACCCAGCCGATAACAATATCAGCTCCTTGCATCTTTCCCTGACCTGTGGAAATTCCAAAGCCGACCCATCCAGTTGTTTGGGCTTCCACTGTAAAATAAATCTCTTTCTTTGCAGTGTCGACATTCCAAAATAGCTTCACTTTCTGGCTCTCATCCAAAGCAGCAAAGAAGGAATGTCCTGATGTAAGATCAATGATGGACGACTTCGCTAAACATACGAAGATCAGCAAACAGCAGGCAGATACCTTCGTGATCTTCTGCATCTGACAAAAAGCTGACATTGTGGCAAATTTCTGCAAATGTAGCTTCAACAAGTGCCCGCAAAATCAGACAACAAAAAATTGGTTCGAATGCTGGCCGAATATTGCTCACAGTAACACTTCCAGTGCTTAGTACCGAGAGGATTAAGAGCTCTCCGCTCTTTCTGACACTAATCTAGTGAACAAGCATTAATTAAGTGAACAATGTGACGCGTTACGTCGAGGTTATAAATACTTTCACACAACAGGCGCGTTAAACAACCTTCCTATGTGAATACTGAGAAGCTATCCAAGAGTTAAAAGTCAAAAGTCGATTAGTCAACGGGATCAATTTATTTTTTTAAAGCACAGGATCTGCAAAGCATTGTCGTACACGAGTTACTGATTATTGATTACAATACCACAATTAATCATGTGACTTCAGGGCAAGATTTTCGCATAGCCTCATACTCATTATAATAAAAGTTCTTAGATAAAGAAAACAATGGCTAGAACAATTGCGTTTTAGACTGCAGCTTTGTTTTAGGATAATAGGGAATTGTACGGAAATCTTTCCCAAAAGAGTATCAATAAAGGTGAGGCACGAAATCTGAATTACACGTCTAATAGTTCTTAAACGAAAAATTTAACTTCAGATGTGCGTAAAGATAGACAAATAACGAAAAACGTATCATCATTTACACCAAATATAATTTGATTATACGGCAACAAATTTATCAACGATTATGCAATGCAAACCAATTGGTAATGCCTTAAAATAAAAAAGCGCTGTCATCCTGTGATATTAATTGGCTCGAAGAGTACTCTCACTTGCACGTAACAATAACGAGCTCGCACTTGTTTTAAGAACCAACCATTTTGGTGTGGATTTGCTTGAGCCTGTGTGTGCATGTAAGGAAAAGCGAGAGAAATGACTCGCCCTTCGCGGATGCCTCGCTTTTACCTCCGCTTCCCTGAAAAACGCAAAATTTCAAAATTTACACATATTCTGTAGGCTACATTAATAATCATAGAGTCAAGCGTGGTATCATCTGCTATGATATTATCTAATGTTTCTGACTATGCTAAAATCGTTCAAGAATGTAAACAATTGTTCTGACTGGTTACATAAATAAAAGTTTTTGTTCTGTGCCAACTGAATGATCTGACTGAACAGCTCAAGGTGTGATGGACCGGAAGATAAATGTAAGGCTTTTCTTAGACCTGGTGCCCTTTGCAGCCAATGTTTAATCTCGTTACGCAACGCATTTTCCGTCTCCTAGGTCACTAATCCCTCCGCTGATATAACTTCCTACTTTCATAGGCAATGCGTTTAAAAAGGTACTTGAAGGTCTAAAGTCATTAGTAGCGCATGAACACACATGTGGATCGCGACGTTCAAGAACGTTGTCAATTTTCTGCCGGTGAATTCGCAAGATCAGCAAACTTTAGCGAGACGGTCGCACATGCCTCCCGGTGAAAGGCTGATAAAGGAAGGTTTTTTTGAAAGTCAAATTTTAAGTCCTCAAAACGATCAACCTTATCATATCTAGCATGGAAAAGGTCTTAATATTTTCATTCATTGTAGTAGAAATTACTCAAAAGTTGTATTTAGAAAGCGAAAAAAGAGTTGGTTCGTAGCCAACCGCTGATCGATTCGTACATTTATTCGAAATACCTCGCGTGCCAGCGCATGAACAGATGTCAGTCGTTGCGTTCGATAAGTTAGTAGAGTCGAGCGAATAAGATACAAACAAAAAATCTGTTGTGTATTCTTGTGACCTTTACAATGCTACTTCTCCAATTGTTAACATGGGAAACATACTTTACTAGTTTAGGTACGAAACGACTTAACTGACTGGGTACGAAACGATTCAACTTACTAGGTATGAAATAATAATAATAATAATTTATTTCTTATAGAGCGCTATTTACAATGACAGATCAGTAGCGCTTTACAATTAGCGTCTCTAAATATTACAATCTCCACTAATCCAAAAAGTAATGACATATTACAGTTAACTTGGCTATTTACAATTCATAACTTAACCACTATTGAAAGAATTGCCTGAAAAGAAAAGCCTTAATTGAATTCTTAAAAATTTCTACAGATCCAATATTGCGTAATTGCAATGGTAGCTCATTCCATAGATGCGGTGCAGCCGCCTGAAATGCACGTTCACCCAGGGTTGCCAGCATTTTACCTCTTGGTGGCTCTAATAAAATACCCGAGTTAGATCTAAGATTGTACGAGGACTTGCGTTTGATAACCAAAATATTGCTAATATATGCGGGTGCGAGGCCGTGAATGGCTTTAAAAGGTAGTAATAGAATCTTAAAATATATACGCGCTGGCACAGTTAACCAGTGTAACTCATAGAGTGCTGGAGTTATGTGACAATGTTTCCCGATATCCATAACTAGTCTAGCGGCGGCATTTTGCACGCGTTGTAACTTAGCTATTTGCTCTTTGGGAAGGCCATACAATAAAGCATTTTATAATAAAGTTCGGATATAACGCGTGCTGTCATTGGTTAAAAGAGCGTGCTCTATGAGAGTATAGAGCATAGAACTGAGCTAAAGCTGTCACGCCATCTGCCAAATTGTACTATGTCCGACGTTTTCCGGGACTTCTTTCTAGCTTTTCTCTCGTTAATTGAAAGTGAAATTTCGGAACAAGCGAGCAAAGGTTTGCAAAAATGCCAGGCGCAGTAATTTACGTCACTGTAACGTGAGCAGAGACAAAAATCCTCAAAGATAAAACAAAATGGACAGTCCAAGTTTTAAAGGTTTTCACGCTCAGTTAGATTGCAAGTGTACGTACGGTAAGAAAAATCAAACACAGCTAACACTTGTATAGTTTATAAAGTTTCGTGTTTAAAAACAAGAGAGAAAAAAACAGGAATGATGAAAAATATAACCTGGCATGACTGTTAAAATTCATACTAATCATGACGGTGTTAGACCGACTGCGATCATGCTGAGGTCTATCGCGGCTAGCTCATCATGACGATCTTCGGTCACTGCAGTGGAGCAAGCCTCAGGAACTAAACCGACTACCTTTCGAGTGGAAAAATAAGAGCTTGCTCTGATAACCTTTCCGATGCGTTGAGTGGAAGGCCACATCAGTCACTGCAGCCGAGTTTTACGGCGCTGTCATTCCGAGCGATTTTCATGTCCTGGTGAATTCGGTTGTTGTTCATTCATAATACACTCGACTTGAACAGTTTGTTTTCTACTTGTCATGTGAAATAACTTGCGTATTTTTGTGAGCCACGATTGGGCCGAATTTCACTGAACATTTCACTTTCAGATCCTGTATTAGAAACTAAAAAAACTTCAGGCAAAAGTGTTAAATTCGACATGCCGAGCTATTTTAGTTTGTAAACTATTGCAGAATATGAACTTTGATGGGTTTTGAACTTTGATGGTTTGAAATTTTTGACAGCTTTAGTCTTGTACAGCCAATCAGATTATTTGAACCATTCTAACAGGTTAAGACTCAACTTACTGAGTACAAAACGATTCAACTTACTAGGTATGAAACGACATAACTGACTGGGTACGAAACGATTCAACTTACTAGGTATGAAACGGCACAACTGACTGGGTACGAAACCACTCAACTGACTCGGTACGAAACGATTCATCTTACTAGGTATGAAACAACACAGCTGACTGGGTACGAAACCACTCAACTGACTGGGTACAAAACTAACGGCTCAACTTACTGACTATGAAATGACCGGTAACCGAAATAAGATACTGTTCGATGCTGGATTTTGACCTGCTCGTAAATGCGATGTAATCTCGGCACACTTTACTACCTCTCGCTTCAAAGGCGAATTCTAAAAACGTTTAACACACGAAATAGTCGCTTCCGACCTAGTTTTTGACGTTCCATGCAAATTGTTCATCTATTAAAATGGCAAGATTATTAATTACTCATGAACAAAAGGGGTCAGTTTCTAAAGAAACTGTGGTGCTACGTCGGTGGAAGAGTAATAACAGGGTAATTTAGGATTATTAACTGAGTCGATAACGTAGATTGGCCACTGTAAAGAGTTTTAAAAGCAAACGTTTCGAGTGTTAGCCCTTTGTCAGAGCGATTGACGAAGGGCTAACGATCGAAACGTTAGCTTTTAAAACTCTTTATGATGGCCAATTTACGCTATCAACTCAGTTGATAATACTAAATTACCCTAGTAATTGCTCACTCTGTTCTCCTAGGGGTCTAACAATCAGTTTCTTCTGCGAAATTTAGTAAACCTGCATTCACCAGTCACCCCCCGTCAGATAAGCTCTCTCTAGCGAGGGGATCCCGCAGGCTTCACAGTGCTATGATGATGAAGAAAGGGGGTTTGAAGGTAAAATTCAGAGTCCTTCAAACGATCAACCTAAATATTAGCTCCGACATGGAGAGAATCTCAACACATTTATTCGTTGTGGAAGAAAATTTCTAAACGTTGTTCTTGGAAAGCGACAACAGGTTGTATGACTTATATGGAAGCCGAAATAGTACAAGTTTATAAAACAAAAGAAAGAGAACTTGCGACCAAAAAGAGGACAGAGTGCAATGGTGGATGTCGACCTGCTTGTGAATTCGATATAATCTCGGCACACTTCACAACCTCTCGCTTCAAAGGCGAACTGATGACTGTCTTTTTTTGTAAAGTGTGCCTCAGACCCTGCAAAACAAAGTTATCAGTTGAAATAACCCAACGCCAAGTTACCTGCCATTTGTCTTATTCACACTAGGGAATCGAATTAACATCAGGCATCCCGGCGTTTCTTGAGGCCATCGTCCATAATACTCTGGTTGGTATACTAATATTTCAAAAAGCAAAGTTTTTGTCGAAAAAAGCTCAAGAATTCGCTTCATATTTTCATTTTTTGCTTATTCATTTGCTTGCAATTCGATCGGTTGCTTTAAGCCAGTCTTGCGTCCTGAAATTTTTCTGAGTGTTCCAGTTTCCCTGAGTGAGAGAAGGAAGCAATCTAAGCCACGAACAAAAAAGCAAATATGTGTGCGAGTGCGATTTGTGAATATGTTGCACTACTGAGAGCCAACCAGATTGCAGAGATCACTGATGTGTAAAATGTTGGAAACTATGCAGCACTTCCGTGTGCGACGGCAGGTTCCGTATTGTTTTGTGCTTTTATCCCTCGCATCAGATGGCAATCTTGATATTATCATGAAATACTCACCGACAAAGGAATACTGTTATGGCCACTACAGTAGACGTAAATGTCCTGAGTGTCTTGATAACTATCCCATAGTTCAGAAACCAACTCTTCAGTCCAATCATTTGGATTTGGTGGAACTTGTCTAATAAATAGTAGAATGGTGAAATTGGAAGATTTGTATTCACTTTACGTTATCAACCAGCTAGGTAAGCAGCTAAATAGATAGGTCGGTAGATCTGCGGGCAGATGGATGGGGAAGAAACTGAACCAGGAAGGCAAGAACTGAGTTGAGCTGAAAAGATGGAGGAGAGGATGCAAGAACAGATGGCGGACGGAATGAAACAAGCAATCAGTCCTTCAAGAAGTCGTAGTGTGGTATCTGGTGAGACTCCTTTCCCAATCAGTCCCTTCTCTCGTAGCCAGTTTTGATGGACTCTTGAAACCACAGGTGGCCCAAGCTCCAGCTGTGAGATGATCTTTCTTACGAAATAAGAGTCATATCGAAATTATAAGAGTTTGTATGGGAATATTTACGACCGCCCTAAGGAATACAAAAATACAGTCAATTTCTCAAGAAAAGTACCTCACCTTACTTCCACAGTGTATCGCTTGTTATCTGACAGCTTACTATGTTGAAAAGAACCCATTTTGGCGAGTTATCCATTTCTAAGTTTACTACATAAGAGAAGCCCAAGGCTGCACAATCAAAAAATCCAACCTCAAAATAACTGGGCTTATCCAACACAGAATCCAAGCACATATACCGTAGTTTCATTTCAGTTCACTACAAACTCAATCTTCCCCTTGAAACCGACGCTAAGCCGCAGTTTGCTTCAAAAATTTCCAGTTTAGACGTTTCTCACAGCCCGCGTTCACAGTGAAAACCAGCTTGGTAACCCTGCCTCCTTTGCAAACTGTACCTCGCCTGGAACCACACCTTCACTGGCATCAGTAAATCGTTTTAGAATCACGGGTGCTAAGTGACAGTGTGGTCCCCGAGATACAAACAATTATAATTTCGACATGACTGTTATTTCGCAAGATGATCATCTCACAGCTGGAGCTTGAAGGGGTATAAGGGAGAACTAAGGATGGATAAAATACTTATACAGATGATGAGCAGAAATACCTCTTGATCTTTGAGTCGTACCACGATTTGTCATTCCGGGGCTCAAATCTCTGTGCACTTATTTCTCTCGACTTCGTTTTTAAAGTCATTTGTAATAAACAAACTCACCCACCGTGGTTACTGTAGAATTTATCGACAGCTGGCTTCTGGCTAGACCAGCACTGGGTTAAATTTGCTTTTGGGTAGTAATAATGGAACGATAGGCACATTTCATCACCTGTAGCCGGACCACCCTAAAACAGGAGATAAAAAGATAGATATCCATTTTAATCAGTAGATTCCATAAACATTCCAACAGGATCAACTCGAGACCAAACGAGTCAGTTCGCCATGCAGATTTGATGATTAAATCACCCAATCATTTTTGACAAAGTGCTTTCTCTTTTACAACCCTGAACAAGTTAAATAAGGTTCTACGTAACCGAAAAAGATTAACACATTTATAAGCACTGATTGCAAGTTATCAACGTACCAATTTTTTGTTTATTTTCTGTTTGATACTTGCAGACTGTTATCAGCGAGTCTCCCTGAAAAACAAATACTAATATATATATATATATATATACACACACACATATTTAAGAGATTACAATCTCTTGACATATTTAATCATATGGTCTGATCGTCTGGGTGAGAGTGTAGTCCTGAGAATGACTGTGGTCGTTAGTGGTGACTCACATTTCAACAACATGAGCAGAAGTCATCATCACAGAGTCAAGTAAATAGTTGTTGTCAGTCGAATGGACTAAGTGTACATTCGACTCTTCACAAAAAGACAATTAACTTGACATGCATCTCATCACGAGCCTTTCCTTTTATTTTTTTTTCTTACCGGCAAAACTGTCACCTCCTGTCTTGGAACCTGAACTTCCTATGGTTAAAAACATAAAAACAAACCAAGAGAATCTGTTAAAACACCGAAAGTGAAAGGAATGAGTACTCATAGGTTGGTCAAACATAGGTTGAAAGGCGCTCATGGTTACTTTTTGATCTGTTGAGGCATCTCTAGATAGCGCCTGGTATACCGATGTCTTACTTCACACAATAGAAACTCACCTGAAAGTTGAAATCGTAGTTGTCGTCTCTGATAACCTCTGGAAGTTCGACACCATTCCTGACATGTCGGGTGTATATGGCGCGACCTACGAAAAGGAAGGAATGGGCTCGGGAAATGTAACAACTTTAAAATATTTTGTTACATTCTTCGATGAAGTAAAAGCCAATCTGATTTAGAATTTTACGGGCTTAAATGCATATGGACTATGGCAAATATTCGGATTGCTCCGCTCTCCAAAGGTGATCCTTGCAAACCCTGTGACAATGAATTCCAGGAATGTGACTCCTACATCATCCACAGCGATAAGTATTTTTACGCCAGTCAAATGTTCCTATCTGGGCTCTCATCGGCTCCTTTCGGAACTGATAATAACTGCTGGATTTAGCAAAGAAATTCCCCAACTCAGAACAGAAATGGGACTGGTCGGCACCAACTGCTGGTGGAGTAAAGGTAACGACTACCTGAGGTACTTAGAAAGCTTCAAATTTCCTTCAAATACACTGATCATGACATGCTCGCCGATGAAATATTGAATGAGAAAAGGGTACTTTAATTCACCTCTTCTGTGCATCCTTTGATGCAATAACCCTCCGTCGTCCAGTTTGCTTGATCGGGTGGTATTATCATTAATGGGTCTACAGCCCACCCAACAGACAAAATACTAGCTTGGTACTGTCTGAGTTGACTTGTGTAATGAAATCGTAGACCAGAGCTGTCTATAATGCCTGAAACGAAAAGATCATGGGAGTAAGTTAGCTGCATTGATCAGGAATAGTAACAGAAACCAAAGAAAAACACTGCTATTGTTTGGTTTTTATTAACATGTTACCTGCTTTATTTTCAGGATTATCGTAATGCATTTCCATAACTGCAAATTTCGGATGACCTTCGAAGGAGAGTCCCACATGTTCGGGATAATAAAATGACTAATAGTAAGAAACAAAACGTGATAGATCAGTTTAAGAGTGTCATTACAATATTTCAAATTTTGCGCCGTGCAAGGCTGCCTTTAGTATGAAGGTACGCGGAGCCCGCAAACTGACTGCCTCAAACAAGCTAACTTAAAGAAACAAAAAATAACATTTGGTCAATGTGATAGAGAAACACAGAAGATCAAACCATAAACAGAAATAATGAAGAAATGTAAAATTGTTTCCGTGTTTACATAGCCTGATGTAAACACGCGGGAGGTTGGGAGAACACGAGATAAGCGTAGGAAACCACGACGCCAAGCGGAGTGGTTTCCAGCTTATCGAGGATGTTTAAGGATGAAGAAGGTTGAAACGGATTGCGAATGACGACCTCAATAAAATTTAAGTCAATGCCAGGCTCTCGCGGTCGGTAAAGACGAAGGAATGGGTTAGTTGTTGGTTGGGAAAATCGACGAAACTGTAGAAAATCTCTCTCTTTCTTAAATTTCAAATCACAAATTTTCTCCTCCTCTCCCCCGTTTGTATCCTTTTTGAAGTCACGCGCGGCGCGCGTGATTTCACTATTTAGCCAATCATGTCAAAGAACTCTTACACCGGAAAACTGACCTAGACATTTTTCTCCTAGTTTTGTTGTTTGTTGTCACAGAGTTCAGTTGGTTTTTTTATTTTTTCGGCTTTCGTTCGCGCAAATTTGTTACCCCTTTGTTTGTAATTTTACGAAGTTTTGAATTTTTTAATTTTAGCCAAATGTTGTGGTTCCTTTAACAAGTTTAATACATATTTTCTACGGAGTTTGGACTCCAGTCTCTTTTTTCATAAATGAATTTTTTACTGGAACTCTCGGAGTGTAGAGGAAGACATACACTTGCCTCCCCTTCGTTTTTTCTCTCACTCATACGGCTCTTTCGCTCTTCCCTACAATTGATTGCCCTAAAGTAGGTAATCCAAATTTAGACTTTATTTTTCCAGACATATTAGACCATAAAGAAAGGGTCGCAAAGGTATCATTACAACATTTGCTAACATACCCACCTGACCTCCAATCGCCCAGGCTGTTATTATCGAGAGTCCAATACATTGTAGCACTGGGGGAGGCATTTCTGGAGAATTGGTTGTTCCCTCAAAGTCGACGTGAATCTGTGGAAAATTATCTCTGCACTCGTACAGTATCATATGGTGTACAACCCCCTCGTTTCCTGCTTGAACAATGGGATCGATCTGAAACATCGTAGAGAATTCAATGAAACTTAATTTTTAAACGAAATATTAGAAAGATATAGACCACGTTAGGTGCAACTGTACATTCTTGGAGCCACGGAGTTTGCTCAGTTATTGTTATTGAATAAAGTCACCCTCCCGATGTGAGCTAGGCTATTTATCAAGTTCCTGTGAAACAAGCGTCCTGCGTATTGCTAAGATCAGCGACTTCGGAAGTGTTGTGTGTGTAAACAGTGTGAGAAAAAATAGGGAATTTGGACTTCCAGTCCCCTGTAGTTCAGTAAATTTGTGTGTGCATCGGAAGACGAAGTCCAAAGGTCTGAAATTCGTTGCGGGGCAAAAGAAATAACATTTTTCTTCATCCGGATGACCATGATGCAAATTTACCATTGTGGCTATTTTAGACCATATCACTAGTTTCGTTTCCATTCGCTTTGTCTTCTTTGATTGATCGCGAAGCAAATTCTAAAAAGAAGAAGTGAATTTAGAACTCATTCTTACCTGAACGATGTCATGTCTTCCTAAGAGGTCCGGAAACTCAAACACCCGATACATGTACGTTGTGCGATTTACCGGTACAGCTGTCTGTAGAGAATAAGAGATACGAGAAGGACAGAGAAAGGATAGAGAAAAACGGAGAAACGGGGTGAGATGATGTATCAATCAATTATTGGTAAAAAAGTTTCTCGCGCTGAGAATAAACACAGAATGTAAGGAAGTGTAAACCGATAAATTGAAGGATACGAACGTCGGGTGTGACAGAGCGCGGAATCTTCGACTGTGAGGTTATTTCAGCACCATTATGCTAGCTTACGTGAGGGTAAAGAGACTAGGACGGTGTTCCTTAAGGAGGTGCTTATTGATGGGTCAGAAGTGACTGATGCTTTCAAGAAGAGATGTTCTGTAGAAAAAGGAACCATTTTGGGAAAAAATCAGTCAATTCCGCGATTGCCCCACCTTTACCAAATGCGATTTTCATACAGCTTAAAAAGTTAATTTCTCTGTCGAAATTTTACAGACAATTATTTTTAAAAAACTCACTGAAAGTTATTCCCAACAGCCAGAGTCTTATGAATGTCTTGTAAATGTTTGTAAAGTTCGCTTAGGTTTAAAAATGAGTTATTTACGAGGCTAAAAAAATACATTTAAAAATTCAAAACCAAACGTTTTCCACACTAGGTCATCATCAGCGTGATAAACTAGTGTCGACATACTTTTAAATATATTATAGACTCGTGAATAACGACTACACATTATGTTTTCCAGGTATCAATATGATAACTAACTCAAGCACGGAACTGATACGATAGTAAAGACCACATTCGAAATTATATCTCATCCCTCGTCTATTTTTATGATTAAAACGTTTAATCTGAAACATCTTCCTTAATTGAACGGCTGTAATAAGTAATGGAAAGCACTAGTAATGAAAATTAGGCCCATCAGTTTTCTTTCATCACAAATACTATCATCACCTTGTTCATCTTGAAATCGAAGGACTTCGCATCAACGGGTAGTTTGGGTACTTTCTCAAAAGTATTGAGTAGAAAAACACTTCTGGCTCCCATACTATTGATGTCGTGCATTGGAATATCATCCTCAGAGTTAGGATCACCTGTATGAAATGCATAGATGAGTTTTGTTGTTCCTTCCGCATTACTAAGAAAAAAATCAAAGGAAATTCTCATCCTCGCGTGAGTGACGTCACCTGACGCAAATCAGAATTAGAGGTCTTCTGGTGACAATTATTGTGGAGAATCAGGGGATTCATTTGATTCTAGCCCAGATTTAATCAAGAAAAATATCCGAGAGGGTTATAGGTACAGCAGCCCCCTTTCGTAGATTTAAGACTACTTTTCCAGGCTTTTAATCATAAAGACAAAGACGCATACCGCGACTCTGATGTCTTCAAAATCGCAAGTTTCAAACTTTCGTTTAAACTTCATTATGGTCTTGCCACTGTCCTTTTGTAGAGATATAGGCTCGTAATCCTGCCAGGAGTCAATCTTTGGTGTTGAGTGGCCAGTTGCATGGCGATCCTGAAAATGAAATGATCCAACCGAGGGTCCCAATGGGGTTAACCGTTAGCCGTAAAACGGCCAAAATATTTAGCCG